GTCAAAGTTGGGAGTGGCAGAAGAAACACGAGAGTAGAATAAATTAGGGTTAAATTTGAGTGACAGGGTGAGAAACTGTGTGATAAGAGAAGAGTGTGGTTTGCAAGATAATGCTGTGACCACGATTAAGAAAAGAATGCTTTGGTGGTTTGGTTATTCAGAGTGACAAAGCAAATTTATGTTGCAGAAGTGAATGGAAGAGTCGGAAAGGGACGTCCTAGGCCAAAAGTTTATCAACCAAAATTGGCGATATATTGAAAATAGGCCAAATGAGGAGTACCCTTAACTGACGAACATGTATATGAATATGGAGGAAGCGAGAGAGGTGTCTCAGGATCGTGCCAAATGGAAGTCTGTAATCTCTGCCTACCTCTCTGGGTGACTGGCGTGAGTGTATATTATATGTATATATGTGTATACTATTTGTAGTCGTCATGGTCTACATCCACGAGCCTAAATGGGGCGATTGATTCTTCGCCACCACCGCATAGCAAATGACAAAAGTTAAGTAAGGATTCGTATTGGAATGATAGCTAAGCTTTTCTCTTTTTGTTTTTTAAGAACGTAACCCGCCACTAAAATATAGTTTATCGTTTATACACAAATTAATCTTGCATAATTAAAATGTTTTAACTGACTGATAATATTCAAATAAGTTATATGAAATACCTACATGTTCAACTTGCGTCATTGTGTCGAACCGCCGCGCCGCGCCGGCCTCATATCATGCATTCTGTAACGTAGGTATTACGAGATAGCTTATTGCATGCTTTGGATATCTTCCTTGGATGTTTGATGGTGTGTAGTGAAACTTGGTAAAACGGACATAGCAAGATCGTTATTTGTGTAATTATATAACGAGTCTTAATGAAATATTGTTCATATTTATGATTTTCGACTTAGTTTGCAATTTATTTCCTTTGCTCCGTAGGTTAATATAATTTTTTCTTTTTCGGTTTTAATGACTGACTGCACTGTACAAATGTTTGTAAGTCTTGACTTATTAAAATAAAATATTGAAGATTATACAGATTTTGTGTATAAACTATACACACGTCGCCTGACCCGCTTCGCCTATAAATAATCCGTTGTGTGATGATGTGTGTGATATGTGAAAACGTAGAGTGTAGACGTGTCATATAATGGCAACTGTGTTTAGATAAATGCAAATACGCCACCCCCTGTCTATATGGAGCACGATCTACGTAAGGCAGCTGGCAGCAACTGGATGGGTGGAATAAAATCAGGCCAAGTATCGCCACTTTGGAGAGGCCTACATCAGGCAGTGGACTGGCGCAGGCTGATGGTGATAATGCCGATGAGGACTAAGGAAAGGTTACCGGCGGCATTCACAACTTTGTGCTCATTTGCCTTCTGTCCTATGGAAATCAAATCTTATGTTACGAGGTCGTTCGCCTGAGTAGGTTTTTACCAAGTTCTCCCTCTCCCTGCCGCCAGAGAGCAGTGTGTACACTGCTGTGTTCGCTCTAAAGGGGATGGTGAGCCAGTACAATGAAAGGTTGTGAATCATTTCGCCTTAGTCCTCAGAGGTGACAATGCATCAGTAACATTATAAGTTTGAAATTGGTTATAGGTGTCCAAGTGCAGCAGTGACCACTAGCCGTCAGGTGGACAGTTCGTTTGTCACCTGCATTTTATAAAACATATATTATGTAAATAAATAAATTTAAAAAATGCAGAATCTTCCTGATTACAACTCGAAGTAATTAAAAAACCCTCCTTGTATATCCCCACAATGAATATTTACAATATAAACACTAATTTATAATATAATATTTTGTACAACTAAGTAAGAAAACATTGCACACCGCATGGTTGCGATCATCTCATTTCCAAGGGCTCATCAATCATATTAAAGGCTTTCAGTATGTGATTGAGTGCATTTTTGCTTAATAAAAATTAAAAAAAATTGATGGATAGGTCCGGTATATTTGTTAAGACTTTGCTATAAAAGTGTGTGCGAAATAATATGCAAAGGAATTACTAAATCTTAACAGGCTAAAATGATGATGATGATGCAGTAAATGATAAAAATAAATTTCAGCGTAAAATAGCAGCTTAACCCTATCATGTTTCGTATAGATATAGGTATCGATGGACTTTCGGGGGGGTTTTTTGTTTTTTTGTGGTGTTGCAACAAGGGCGGGTGTCCCCCCCCCCCCCCCCCGTTGTTCTTGCGGCAAAAAGCATTCGCTTCCGTCAGGTGGACTATGTACTTTTTAGTTACCGTGCCGTGCTTGTTTATCACACCTTATTGTACAAAAAATGGCATAAAAACCTTACGAACTATGATTTTTTCTTATAGAATTCAATTATTAACCTTTCAGAAAAACAAGTGTAGACACAAAGACTTTTTGTTTTATCAAACATTAAAGCGAAAATACTGTTTTATTCATAAATGAGAAAATGTATGACTAGTCCATATGAATACATTTATAAGGTGTACTCGGCCGTTATTTAAGTTTTTATCGTTCAGCAAAGTTGCGCAGGCTCCGGGTAAGTCTGCTCCACTTCCCCGGTCGTCAGCGCGTCCGTTTGTATTTATTCCACAACCTGCTTGATGCCCGGTTTCTTTAGCTGTAACACCTGCTGTGACTTAATAATGCATCGCACTATAAAACTTTGTGCTAGAATACTGTAAGATCTCTAGCAAAACAGCATAACTCTAATTGTGTACTTCACTCGCGTTTCTTGTGTTTTTAAAAGATTTTGGCACATTTACCGGATAAGCAACATAAAAACAAATTTTATTTTATTTTTTAACAAGTACACTTACAATACACATATGTCAATTATGAAAACACACATCTCTATACTCTCTGATATGTATATCAATAACAAGTGTACATATCATTCAGATTTAGTCGTGCAATTTTGGGTTAATTTGGAGTACAAATATCATCCAATCAATACAATGCAAATTAAAATTATTCAAATAAATTATCTACTTAAATAAGAAAATCTAAAGATAAAAGAAAACGGGTTTAGTTATTAAAGGGGAATATGGTAGATATTATACTCTCTTCAGGAGTATGTATATTTTTAATTTAAGTATAACATATTTATATTTATATATTTAAGTGTAACATGTTATTTATTTAGGATTTGTAAGCTGTTGGTATACATTACATAAAAAAATAAGATATATTATATTGAAGATGTAACTTATATAAGGAACGCGACGATAAATAATTTGTAAGTTTAATTTTGAATGCAATATAAGAATCGTTAAATATGTCAATGCCAGGTATGGTTTTAGAAAATTCTTTATATTTTCCACATATAATTCAAAAGGAAACAAATCCAAAACACTTGCCAAGCGTGGCAACTATGGCAAATATCCCTCCTGTGAGACAATTTATGGGGGAGGTCTACATCCAGCAGTGTGCAGCTGCAATAGGCTGTAGAGATAATGGAACCGAGTTACAACACACATCATTTCAATCAATTCAAATCACAACAATTCTAAGGAAATTTTCACTTCGAAAGCAATAAAAATTTAAATTTACCGCGGTTTGCGGTATGACTCTTAAATAACACTACAGGTAATATAAACTGAATATCTTTCATGCCATACCCCTGTAGATTAGTGTTTGATACTAACACTACAATAATAATTTCTATACTTAAAAGTTAGTTTTTTACTTTACACATCATATAAAGAGAATTATTGCCGTGTATTGTTAGGTACAAAACTTAGGGCGATAAAATACACATTCCAGACAATAATCTCTTTGAGCAATTCGTCGAAGTCAAGATTACAGTGTAATCTATTATACCGTTTATGTGATAAGAAATTTTACAATGATATTTCCGATGGTAGCGCTATGTGTTTGACTACGGCGAGGCGAGTCGCAGGTTTGATTCTTACACGGAACAAGAGCGTTTGCATGACCTATAAACTACAAAAATAATTGTTCAAGTCTGGATTTGTTCACGCGCAATTTATATTTGTAAAATGCCTCCACGATACAACTCCAACTCTTTGACACGACAACGTTTACTCAGAAAAAATATTGTTTTTCTTCGCACCTCCTCCTTGGGCTACATTTAACATATTCTATATCATGTTGCAATAAGGAGGTTTTCTTCATATAATATTGTTGTGTGTATTTAGGTGCGCTACGAATCCTCCCGTAACATAACAGATTGGTTAAAACGACACGACCTCCGGTTAGTATGGTAGTTAGAACCGGGTCAACGTTTTGCCGTATACATTGACATATTCAAGTTTGTTGTCCACTTTGTGATTGAATTTCTTATATGATGTTCGATTTGGAATTTATATAATTACTTAAAGGGGTGAGAAGTGAGTACAAGCGGGTATTGCGTTAAAAAGGGGCTGCCTTTGTCATCGTACACTAAGGAGCGAAGCAATTATGGCGTTCAACTACGACAATATATATATGAGCTTTGTCTAGCATTTGTATTAGAAGAGCCTGCATGACTTTACTGGGTTTAATACGCGGTAGAGCTACCCTACATAAACATTATTGTGGTAGCACGAATGGGTCGGCTCAACCGAAGAAGCACTACGCTCGCACAGAATAAGAGCGTAAATTACGCTGATGCTGATTACATCTCACTTAAATGGATTTTTTAACCATGGACAAGTTCATTTCACTCATCATCGTCACCATTACAGCCTATCAAAATTCTCTGTTGGAAATGGGCTTCCCTCATAAATTATCTTATAAGATATTATTGGCATAGTGGCGACGATTACCAGGGGGGGTTTGCGACCGTAGACTTTTTATTGTTATTGAGTTGTTATTAATTGAGCGGATTAAAGGAAGCTGTAAGTAAATGGCTTTTAGAAATGAAGAACCATGATATAGAATTAATGCTTTGAATTAAACACGCATACATGTGTGTATGTGTGGCCTAAGTATATAATAGATACTTAAAAGGTTTGACCCCAACCTTTGATTGTAATAAAACCACAGTCATTGTTATAGAAATATTTTTTTATTGATTTGTTATCTGAAAGACGCTGCTGCCTGTCTCGTGTTGCAGCTCCCGTCTGCTGCCCCTCGTGTTGCAGCTCCCGTCTGCTGCCCCTCGTGTTGCAGCTCCCGTCTGCTGCCCCTCGTGTTGCAGCTCCCGTCTGCTGCCCCTCGTGTTGCAGCTCCCGTCTGCTGCCCCTCGTGTTGCAGCTCCCGTCTGCTGCCCCTCGTGTTGCAGCTCCCGTCTGCTGCCCCTCGTGTTGCAGCTCCCGTCTGCTGCCCCTCGTGTTGCAGCTCCCGTCTGCTGCTCCTCGTGTTGCAGATCCCGTCTGCTGCCCCTCGTGTTGCAGCTCCCGTCTGCTGCCCCTCGTGTTGCAGCTCCCGTCTGCTGCCCCTCGTGTTGCAGCTCCCGTCTGCTGCCCCTCGTGTTGCAGCTCCCGTCTGCTGCCCCTCGTGTTGCAGCTCCCGTCTGCTGCCCCTCGCTACAGCCACAGGGTGGTGAGATGAGACAGTGTATTCATATATCACTGACTGATTCATTACGATATCTCTAAAACTATACACTCGTTTATCTTGAAATTTAGTATACTTACTCATTTCGCAATTTAGATGCTCACTAAGAAAGATTTTACGATAGTCCAACCAAAAAAATCTTGATATTGTATATCGACATTATTATCGTCTATTACCGTGCGCACAGCGAAACGGGTATCAGCTAGTTTAATTATCTAGTCGTTTTTTGCCGTTTGAAGTTCATCTCCCTACTTCTATTACTGGCACTACTAATTCCAACCCCGTCATGCCCAACACCACTACAATAGGAAGGAAATACGAGGGTCGATAATGTGACATGCATTTCGCCTCTAAACGAGACATTATTAGCTCCCACCGCTTCAGCCGTCAGCTAGTCCAAAGTGTATTCTTTTGATGATGCCTCGTTTAAAGACTGAACACGTGTCGTATTATCAACGGTGTTGTGTCTTTTCTAGTGTAGCGTGGAACTGGGGTTAATGGTGAGGGAGGGGGGAAGGAGGGAACAGCTCTTTAGTCTAGGCAAGACATATCGATCTTATTTTTCGACGGATCTCAGCTGATTAATTTTAGCATTTTTAGGAAACCATTAATCTATACGCGTCAAAATAAAATTAAAAGTCTTCCTGTGATAATGACATAAGTGGCTTCTATTCAGCTCAAGAGCTATTTGTATGCAATCAAAACATAAACAACGACTTATAAATGTTTTGTCTGCAAGTGTGTCTGCCAGGCTAACGACAGCAGCGGCTGAGCGCATTGTAATGGAACTTTACGAACAGATTGGAAACAATGCTAGGAGGAAACTATTCTATTTAACATCCGTAAAATTTGAAGACTGTTTTATGAAAATTTACCACGTGCTCGGCGGTGAAGGAAAACGTGAAGAAACCTGCATGTCTGAGGAATAGAAAAAGAAATATTTCGAGGACATGTGAAGTTCGAGAAACACGCATTGGGGTAGCGCGGCGGACACTTTCTTGCCCTAAAACCCTCTCAGAAATGAAGGGAGGCCTGTGCCCAGCAGTGGGACGTATATAGGCTGTAACTTTACTTTTATGAAAAAAACGCAAAAATTTTTATAATTGATAGCCATAATATCCAGGCGAGCCGGGGCGAGTAGCGTAATGTAATATGAATCCGTAAAACAACTAAGTTTTAAACCTCTCTCTGCCCAGAGTAGCTAATTCACCTTATTACTAATAAGTAATTTATTTATTATGTAATGAATTTACGCGAACACTACACATTGAATAAAACTATTATTTACAGATTTTATCGCGTTTAATTACTTTAATTTATTTTCATTATCCCGACGTTTCGAGTGTTTTACAGCACACATGGTCACGGGAGGGACTGAGATGTATGACGTCCCACTCCCTTAAACATCTCAGTCCCCCCGTGACCATGGGTGCTGTAAAACACCCAAAATGTCGGGATAATAAAAATAAATTAAAGTAATTAAACGCGATAAAATCCGTAAATAATAGTTTTATTTATTATGATTGCATTTCGTGGTTTTTCATTTTTTTTTTTGCGCGGAACCATAATTATTTTTCTAAAATAAAACACTAAGTTAGTTCTTATATCAGCTATCGGCTAATAAATGTCTCATCAAAGTCTGTCAAGCCATTTCGGAAATCAGCCGGAACAAACAGACAGACAAAATTAAAAACAAAAAGATTTTTTGATATATGTACCGTATACAATTTCATATGCATTTAGTAGTAACCTGTAATTTTGAAATTACAAACAGACACCTCAATTTTATACATGTGTGTAGATTGTGTCAACAATTTGGAAATCAATTCAACCATTTCATTTGTGTGTAGACGTAGAAGTGAGTAGAGTGGAGCGTTTTGTGGTCGTGCAGGAATGCGGTTGGAACTCCAAGCTAAATAAAATACGACAATGTCGCCGGGAAAGCGATGCTGGAGGGTAAAAATATTATAACTCAGAGCTAAGCAACTGTAACTCGTATAAAAATTTGTACCCGCATTACTTTAAGCGTAACTTGGTAATCTTAAAACTGTTTAATATTCTCGTAAGATTCTACTACTAAAACTAGTTTTGCGCGCGGCTTGTTTTGCTTAGAATAGTTGAATTTTGTTTACATGGTTGGATTTTGATTGGCATTTATGGGTTTAAATTTTTTTGCACGGAACTATTATTATTTACCTACAATAAAAGTGGCCTACGTTACTCCTTATAATATCAGCTACTCGCATCTTCCAGTAAAAATCCGTTAAAATTGCATCTCTTTGCATTTTCTATTGTATTTATTGAAATATTTACCGTTACCCATCACATGGTCTTATGGATAGACGTACCTATAGGAGATGAAGGTTGCAAGTATAAAAGATTTTTTTTAAACCTAGTGTGAGAAAACACTCATCACTTTTTTGTTATTAATTTAATGCCTATGAAATGCAAGCAAGAGTGAGGTGAAAGAAGTAACAGTGATACATGAATAGTAGAATTAGAAATCGAATTCTGAACGATTCTTGAACTCCGAGCTCGTCGAGAGTTGACAACTTTATCTTTCAAATTGCTATTCCTTCGAATATTATCTGTGTTCTGTCTAGAAATACGGCCGCAAGCCGCCACGATTCGGGAGCTAAGTAGGTAGAGCGATGTTATGGTTGTAGAGGGTTGCTTGAGAAAGAACAGTATTGTGCTCCGTATGGTGAGTGTAGAGAACCGCACACTACTGGGAACGAGGCATTACTTTTTACGTGGTAGAACCAAGCTGCAGCTATATTACGGTTGTAGCACAAATGGGTCGGCTAGACCGGGGTAGGACCACACTCTTACATAATATCATCGTAAAATAGCAGCTTATTCTTAAGTTACTGTAGAGAAGAGACCCTTTTTACTGGAAACAAGGCATTCTATTTTAGTCCTTAAGGGTGTCAACGCATCTGCAATTAATTATTATATTAATATATTAATCGAGGATAGATGATAGTAGATGTGTATAAAAATTCATTAAAAAAATACGTTTTGTGAAATAGTATTTTTAATTCAACTTTATTACATTACGAAACCTTTGGAACATGCCCAGAAAGCCCGTTATATTACGTATGGTGTTATGTAGCCCGTAATTGATTGGTTGTGGAGCGTCCACGAAAGCAGGGGTCTGATGAACTATTGAAAACTCTGAATACACTCCGCCAGGATAATGCGGGACGCTATTGAAGTCTCGCTAGAGACGCGAGCTCATTCACTGCGCACACGATTTGTTCGTTTGCCCTCCGCTCTGTGTGCGTTTGATGCAAATTGAACGTATTCGTGCTCATCTGAATACAATGAGTAATAAGATGACATGTCGGTCATCGATATTGAAGCATGATAGGAGAGAAATGGGAAATTGAATTAAAAGGAAGAATAAAAAACTTACCTTGACTTCCGTTCGAAACATATTTATCTAGACTTGAAATTTATTCACAATTAAAGTTACGGCCTAAATACGTTCCACTACTAGGCATAGGCCTGCTTTCAATTTTGAGTGGGGCTTAGGGCAAGAGAGCTGTGGTAGCTCAGATGGTTAACGCTCGCTGTAAATATAACAGAACGCGAGTAACCCGGATTCGATCCCCGCCGGCACCAAGAAAATTGTTAATTGTAATTTTAAGTACTGATTTACCACGTGTTCGGCGGTGAAGGAAAACATCGTGAGGAAACCTGCATGTCTGAGGAATAAGGAAAAAAATTTTTCGAAGACATGTGAAGTTTGCCAACATGCATTGGGGCAGCACGGCGGACACTTCTTTGCCCTAAAACCCTCTCATAAATGAGGGGAGGCCTATGCCCAGCAGTGGGACGTATACAGGCTGTAACTTTACCTTACTTTAGGTCAAGGAAGTGTCCGCCGAGCTTCCCCAATGCGTGGCGGACTTCACCTCTCTTCGAAATATAGATTTGTATTACTCAGACGTGCTTTCTAAATACTTTTTTCTTATTTCTCCAACATGCAGATTTCATCTCAATGTTTTCCTTTACTGCCGAGCACGTGGTAAATTAGCAATTAAAATTGCAGTTAACAATTACATTGGTGCCGGCGGGGATAGAAGCTGGATTGCTTGCTTACTGTGAAATTTACAGCGAGTACAAAGCCCCTGAGCTGCCACGCCACGGCTTTTTACGGCACGGAAATTATCTCGGCGTAATCACGACTATTTTTATGCTTAAAACTATCCTATATCTATTAGCTTCAAACAATGCATTTAGTTTTAGAATAATACTTTGATTAATATTAAACCTTATAACATACGGGAATAACAATTTTGTCTCGTGCTGCAGCTGTAATACTGCTGCAGCGTGGCTCTAACACGTATCAACACTATAATAATATCGTATAAATACTCGATAATGGTAAAAAAGCGTTTAACGACCAGTCTGTCGAGCATGGCAAATTTCCTCCTTACGAGACAATATATGCGTACTAATCACAGAAATCGTAATATTGTCTTATTATTACGATTTCTGTAGTACTAATACTACATAGTTAAACCGTGGAGTACAAGTGTAAGAATATCCACTAGGTACCCCATATTGTCCCGAAAGTATGCGATTGAGGGATAATGAAATAGGAGAATGAAAATGAAAAAAAAAACAGCGGTTGCCAACCCGCTAGCCAAGCGTGGCAACTATGGCAAAACCCACCCATTAAGTGATCTGTGAGGAAGGCCTATGTTCAGCAGTAGACTTTTATGGAATGGATTACCTACTGTATAAATGAAGTTTGAAGGTATTTATATAATTATTACAACATTAGTACTTTGTTAAAACGAATAAGTTTGTGATTAAAGTAAAATGATTGTTTTTTAAAACTATATCTATATTAAAACGTGCGTCTGTAAGTGTCGATGTACAATTGCAAACCAATGCTTGAAATGTTTATCGGAATATCGTCGTGTATTGTCGTGTTATCGGAAAATCTTTCCGAGAGCCAGGGGAAATATACAAGATTGCGTTCGATTCGCGGGAACTCAATCCGATTGTGGCAA